CTCCCAAAATTGTGAGGATCAAATAAGATATTTGTAAAGTGCTTTGCAAACCTTAAGGTGCTATATAAATGCGAGCTAATATTACTGTTATTATTTTATGAGGACATACTGAAAATAGTGTCTCTTCAGAGTATAAGTTCCTTGAAGCCAAAAGTGCAGTTTCTTATATGCCTAGCACATATAAATCTTAATAAATGATTTTCATAGATTGATTCTTCAGTAGTCTTTTCCCTCCCACTGCCTTCTTGGAGACCAGCACTGCTGGGCACATAGTATTTGTTGAATGAATTATTTTACCAGTGAGTATTTCAGTTGGTTCATTAAATGATCAGTCTTGCCCTAGAGACTGATCCCTGATGACCTTTGGTTTATTAAAAAAAAAAAAAAGTATTCTCATAGCACCATCTGCTGGCAAAGAGAAGCCAAAGGAGAAAGCAGTAAGCAACCAACCAGCAGCCGTCGTGTTAGGTGAGTGTTACGGTTTAATACATTAAGCATCCATAGTCTCATCAATTTATTGCATGTCAGACACAAAAAGCCCTGTTCGGACTCATCCTGCCCAGTCTGCCCATTTTACCAAGGGGGGAACTGAGTCCCAGAGAAAAGAAATTACCTGCCCCAAAGTTACACAGCTAGTAAGTGGCAAAGCCAGGATTTGAATTCAGGCCTTCCTGACAAAGGCCAGTGCTGTTCCTATTACACAACCCAGCCAGAGCCACATCTGTATTACTTTGCACAGAGCCTAGCCTGGAGAAATGCTGAGTCAGGATCAGCAAGTTCATGTGGCAGGGGAAGAAGAGCACTGGCCTATGCCAGTAGACCTCAGTTCTAGGACTGCCTCTTCCACTAATTAACTGTGTAGCCATGGGCAACTGACTTTCAGCTCTGGGCCTCAGTTTCCTCATTTATAAAACAAGAGGACTGGCATATATATACATACACACATATACACACATACACACACACACACACACACACACACACACACACACACACACACTCTCTCTCTCTCTAAGGTCCTTTCCACGTCTGACATTCAGGGATGATACTGATGTATGTGTTTAGATGTTTGACTTTCACAACGAACATAACCCCTGCCCTCTAGGTGTTGATTCAATCAAGCCACTACCTTGTGCAAGGCACTGTGGAGGTGATGAAGATAAGAAGATAGCTAAGACCCCTGCTTCCAAGGAGTTTTTTGTTTAATGCAGACTATTTATATTAAAGGGATATTCCAGGCCTCTTCCCCACATTCACTCAACAGATTAAGCAAGGTGATCAACAAATATTCATTGAATGCCCAACCTTGGGCTAAACTTTTGGTGGGAGATAAATAAGTGTGAGCCGCAGTGCCTTACCCCCGTGGCTCTTAGTCTACTTAGGAGAGGGATATGATAATGAAAGAAACAGAAGACACCATGTTCCTGGGCAGGAGACAGAGTTCTTACTGACAATATTATGATGATTACCTTGTTCTGGTCAGCTAGGGGATGGGGGCCTTTCGAAAGGGGTTATGGGAGCTGGGAGGGATTTATGGTGGCACATGTGGGGAGCCTGGAAGAAGAAGAAGATGGAAGATGACCATGGAACAGCTAAGCAGATCGATGAGAAATGTCATTTCCATGCTGACCTGGAAGCCAGGAAATAATGACTTATATTAAATAATAGATATTTACTTAACAGGTATGACCAAGAGTAAGCCTGGGCAACAGCTGGTTAAAACACGTGTCCTTTGTTTAAGCTTTTGATTACATGTTCCTATGAAAGGTATGAAAATACTCTGAGTACCCTATAATAAGGGCACCTTGTCTCTGCTACTGCCTTTCCATTGGTTTGACCAACACCATCTCTTGGGTCATATGGCTCCTGAAGTTGAATGGTATTGAAGGAAGTCAGGAAACCTTGTTGACTGGGTCCACTAGAAATTTATATTATCTAATCTCACCTGTACCTTCAGTGTGTATTTAGGCATTTTTCTACTCAATTATTCTCTATCCTCTTCACAATGGCAGCTGTTTCAAACCTCCTTTTTTCTCTTTCAGCCTCCCACCTGAGAATATATATATATATATATATATGTATATATAAAAAATATGTGTGTGTACATATATGTATATATACATGTATGCATTTCATTTAGAAAATTGAGATCATCTTAAGAGTTCTGTCTTCTTTCCTTATCTCATCCCTGCAACAGTATTTTCTACTACATTCTCAAATAGGTCACCTTTGTTCTTTCCAAGGCCAACCCTTTTACCTATACAGTGATCCCATTCCCTCCCAACTTCTTCAGCAAATTGCTCCCCTTTAACATCCTCTCTTTCTAATCTTCAGTCTCTTCCTAGATACTGGTGGTTCCTTCCCCAATGCCTACAAACACTCCTATCCTATCCTCCATCCTTTAAAAAAAGAAAAAAACCCTCACTACATCCTACCATCTCTGCTAACATTCTGTATTTCTTCTCCCCTTCTCAGCTAAATACCTGTCCTCTCTCTTCTAAACTGTTTGTGATCTGGCTTCTGTACTCATCCTTCAGCTGAAACTGCTCTCTCCAAAGTTACCTATGAGGAGCAGCTAGGTGGCTCAGTGGATAGAGCACCGGCCCTGAAGTCAGGAGGATCTGAGTTCAAATTTGTCCTCAAACCAAACACTTGACCTTTACTAGCTGTGTGACCCTGGGCAAGTCACTTAACTCCAACTGCCTAAAAGAAAAAAAGTTACCTATGATTTCTTAATTGTCAGATCTAATGGTCTTAATCACAATTCCAAAGGACTAATGATGAAACCTGCTATCTAGACCTGATGGACTCAGAGTACAAACTGAAGCATATTTTCTTCTCTTTCTTTTTCTTTTTGGACATGGCTAATGCAGGAATTTGTTTTCCATGACTATATATATTTGTAAGGACAACTAGGTGGCATAGTGGATAAAGTGCCCAACCTGGAGTCAGGAAGACTTATCTTCCTGAGTTCAGATCTGGCCTCATACACTTAGTAGCAGTGTGACCCTGGACAAGTCACTTCACCTTGTGTGCCTCAGTTTCCTCATATGTAAAATGAGCTGGAGAAAGAAATGGCAAACTACTCAAGTATCTTTGCCAAGAAAACCCCAAATGGGGTCACAAAGAGTCAGACATGAGTGAAAAAGGACCAAACAAAAACAATATATTTGTAATGTGTTTTGTTTTTCTTGCATTCTCAATGGATGGGGGAAGGATGGGGAAGAAGAAAATTCAGAAATGAAAATAAAACTGAATTTGTTTTAAAAAGACCTAAAGAGGAATACTCAAGAAGGTTTTTAAAAATCTAATGGTCTTTTCTCAGTCCTCATCTTTCTTGACCCCTCTGCAGCATTTGAAATTACTGACCACCTTCTCCTTGGGATAAGTCTCCTCTTGAGGTTTTCAAGACATTACTATCTCTTGTTCTAATTCTACTTGTCTCCTTTGCTGAATCTTCATTCACCACATGCCCACTCACTGTGAGAGTCCAAGCTCCCCCCCCCATACTATCTTACTTGGTGATCTCATTATCTCCCACAGGTGATGATTTTCTTTTAATTTAATTTATTTAATTAATTTCTTTCAAATATTTTCTTTACACTTACAATTCCCAAATGTATATCCAGACCAATTTTCTTTTCAGTTTGATCCATTTCTACCCTTTCAGTCTTCATACACTTCATTTCCCTTTGTGGTCCAGCCACATTGGCCAACTTGCTCTTCCTCACACACAAGGTTCCATGTACAGTTTCCTGGCTGTCCTCCATACCTAGAATGTTCTTCCTTCTCACCTTTCCCTCTTAGAATACCTGTCTTCAAGACTCAACTTGAATGGTACCTTTTGCTGGAAGCCCTTTCTAATGTCCCCAGTAGCCACAGCCTTCTCCTCTGCTTTCCATGTTAGAGTGTATCTTGTTTGCACCTATTTATATAAGTTGGCTTCACCTTTAAGATGTAAACTCCCCACAGCCAAGACCGATTTTTGTTTGTTTTGTGGCTTCTTTTTTTTTTGTATCCCCAGTGCTTAACACAGTGCCTGGTATATAGTAAGTGCTTCATAAATGACTGTTTGGTTGATGTACTGGGGTTTTCTTCCTGCCAACTCCACTCTTAGCTCCACCACGATTCTCGGCCTGTACTGTTCTGCTCTCTTGCCCTCCAGAGAGGGGGTCATCATTCACAATAGCTGGAGCCGATCGAATAATCTACCGTGTGATTTAATCATCCTGTGATTTAGTAAGTATCCCACCTCCACCTTTGAGTACCTCCCAGCCGCGCTCCCAGAAGATGTCCCCAGTGGCCTCATGGAGACAAATGCATCTTCCATCACTGTGGGAGGCCTGGACTCTCTTTTGGCCTCCTCCAATTTTGCCCAGGTTCATTTCGGGTCACACTCCGTACACTTCAGCTTTTACTAACTGCGTTCGCACCTTAATTATCCCATTTGATTCCCCACCCTCAAAGGCAGGTCCCGCGAGTATTATTATCCTGATGTTACAGAGGGGGAAATTAAGGCACAGATGAATGACTTTCTCTAGAGCACACAGGTGACTGGTGTCAGGCTCTTTACGCTGCACTCAAACGGGTTCTCTAATATCAATAATCAGTCCATTCAGACTGCAGAACAAGGGAGACTGATTCTTAAACAGGTTTTAGGTGGTCTTTTACATACAAAGTGGAACACAGAAAAGACCCAGAAGTTTTTTTTTCAGTGGGTGAAAAAGAAAGTTGGGAGGGGGGAGGGGGAGGGGGGAGAGAGCAACGCGGGAAGTGACGTCACCGTTAACAAACTGGAATTATGGGAAGTGTAGTTTGTTATGAACTCCCAAAACTCCCCCACCAGAAGATTGTTATGCTGAAAGGGTCTGAGTGTTTGCAGACTCTTGTCTTCCGGGCACCGCCTGCAGAGCTGCTCTGACTTATGGGGAATGTAGTTTACCACTCCCGGCTCGGTTTGGAAGAAAACGCAAGACAGTAAGAAAGGAGATTTAGTATCTTCCCAGGAGAAGGATCTGGGTGGTAACACCCTCTGCCTTCTTTATCAGTATAGAAGCCGGGCTCCCTCCAGCCCCAGCTTAGAATACACTAACTCTATGGTCAAATTAGCCTAGAAGCTATCAGCGTGAGCATCTCTTTAGGGAGAAGCGTGCAGCTGCGCATGCTCAGCGAGGGACGCAGGAAACATGGCGGAACCTGAGTGAGTGTTAGCCGTTCGTGGTGTGCCGAGCATCCGCCAACATCCGCGGGTTTGGGGTTTTGTCGGGGGGCAGGAGAGGGTGGGGACTTTGGGGTTCGTGCTGGGCGTCCCTGGTGTGAATCGGAGTGACCTCCTACCTGCTGTCGAGCCGTGGGGCCCGGCTTCTCCCCAGGTCTGACTCGCCTGGCCTCGGGCCTGACGAGGAACCCTCCTAGACTTAACCCTAGCGTCGGGGCGAAAGCTCTCGAGTGCGTGGCGCGGGGCAGGGGGAGCGGGGCGGCGGGCGGCGAGACCGAAGGATGCGTTGTCTGGTTTGGGTAGGGGGAACAGCAGCAGCCCGCTTTTAGGTAACGCGGCTCTTTCGGCTCCAAATACTCCGCAGCCACGTGGAGGGTTTTTTTTCGGGGAGGGGCGGTTTTGGAAAACTGGGAAGAGGGCAAAGGTCAGGATCAACGATGTCTTCTAAAGGTGCCCTACCTCCACAGGGGGCTTCTGCCCTGGTGCTCTCTCTCTTTACCTTTTCTTCTTGGAGGCCTTTAGCCCCCTTCAAGGCCCAGATTAAGTGCCTTATCCTTCAAGAGGCCTTTCCAGAATCCCCCAGTTGTTGTGTTCGACACCCCTCCCCCAGTGCCTTTGTATTTATATTGTAGGTGTACCTTATGTGTGATTGATTATCTATAAAGTGTTGTATTCCCCTAGCTTCTTGAGGCCGGGATTGGCGCCCTTTCCTGTCTATTTCCAGTGTATGGCCATAGTAGATCCTAAATTGGCGGTTGGTTGGACACACTTAATTGAAGTGTGGCCCTGGGCAAATCGCAGCCTCTCCTCAGTTTTCTCGTATGTAAAATGGAGTTAATTCTAGCTAGCACCTACTTCCTAGGTATTGGCGCCCTGAAAGTTGGTTAAAGAGACAACAAGCTAGATGATAAGTAAATCCATATTGTTTCATTCCCTTAAGTTAGCAGCATGTAACATGTTACATGGAGGCAGAGCTTTAACTCTGACTGCATCAAGCAGTTTTTGGAGGACATTTAAACCCTGACTCAGGATGTCTGTGTTACTCACTTTTATGGTCTCCATATGTTTAACCAGAGCATGAGAAAGGAAATTTAAATAAGATAGGCAAATGTGAGATCCAGGATATCTGTGTTTCCTTTACCACCATCACGGTAGTGTCTGGGTTAAAGGTGCCTTAGTGAGCTATTGACACAGGAAGGGGCATTCTTAGCTCACTCAGGAAGAAAAGATTGATTCAGGTTTTTGGCCCTTGTTGGGGCTCAATTGATCTTAAATGCTTATCAGTATATAGTGAAAAATCAAAGGGTATGAACATATGCCCCTTAACTGAGCGTGCAAGGGGACCTCGGGGCCCCTCTATTAAGGGACTTTGCAAACCTTAAAGTACTATTTAAATGCTAGCTACTGTTGTTATTGGGCATGGGCCCTCATAAAAAGGCATGCAGTTGCAAGGCATGATAAGTACATTAGGAAAGTGCAAAACAAAGTGAGATTTGAGGGAGAAGCTGGAAAAGTTTTCTAGTTTTTTTTTCTTTGTTGTTTGAGTGTGGCTTTAACTCGGAAGGAAGTGGGGAGGGGGCATTCCATTAGGTAAACTGCAAAAGCAGAAACTATATACTCATTGTTTTCTAAACTAGGCCGAGAAGAAAGATCCCTTTGGTTCCAGAGAACCTCCTGAAGAAGAGGAAAGCTTACCAAGCACTCAAAGCAACTCAGGCTAAGCAAGCACTTTTGGAAAAGAGGAAGGTAAGGGTTTAAGATGAAGGGAGGAGAGAATGAACATCAGGTGGTCAAGCATTCTGTGCGGTATTGAGCATAGTTTTTACCCAGCAGGCTCATGGGTGGCTGTGTGGTGAAATGGAATAAGGTACTGGACTTGGAGTGAAGGAGGCCTGACAGTATTGGGGTAACTTGAGACATATCACTTGTTTTAAATTTTGAGCACCTGCTCTTTGTAAACACCTGTGAGAGGTGTGTTAGGCCCTGAAAGACACACAAAAGAAAAACATTGTTGTTGCTCGCAGGTATCTTAAAGGCCACACACACAAACACCAATTGAAGAAGAAGTTGGAAACAGTTCTTTAATAAGTATAATTCTCCAAAAGAATGAAGGCTCCTTGAGAGGGAGGGAGAAGAAGGCTGCTTCAGTTTTGTCTTATGTATGGTACCTAGCATTTAATAAAGGCTTGTTGGAGGACAGTTTGGCATTTGAATTGGGGGGGGGTAAGGGTGTTTAAAGATAGGATTGGAATGAAATGACAGCAGTAAGAAAAGGCTTTAGACGTAACCATGTTTCTGATTAGAATATAAAACTACCTCTAGCCTTTACTAAGTAGCCTGGGTCAAAATACTTATTTAGAGCTTTCTATTAAAAGTCTTTGTCTCTAGGAAATCTTGCTAAGATAACCCATTGCCCCCTTTTCATCCTTGTGCTAATTTGTTTATTTTGAGCAATTTTTCTGTTCAGTTATTTAATTCATCTGGTCTTTCAGTAATAAACTTCTAAGGTGACCAAAGCCTCAGTGCAACAGATGCACAATAAATGTTTGAAGATGAAAAACCGTGGTGGCAGGAATAGTGTTCTATGCTCATGGTAGGCTCCTTGAAAATAGGTTTTGTTTTTGGGGGGTTTTTTTGTTTTGTTTTTTCTAAATGAATACATACTAAATTTTTTATTGTCATATCAGCTCAGTACTAACAATCTAGGCCCCGAGGAAGTTTTGTGCTTCTTTGTTGATTGCTTTCCCTACTTTTGTCCTGGGTCTTTTGATTATTCAAGTTCCTTGGGACCTTACTTTTTTCACCTGTAAAACAGGATAAATATATTTGTTGTCCCTGTTAAAACACTGACAGCACATGATGACTAATAGTAACAATCAGGTTGTGGGAAGTAAAGGGAATTGAGGTACAGACCAGAAATATTTCCTCTTTTGTCTACTCTTAGCAAAAGAAAGGGAGCCAGCTCAAATTCAGGCGGCTGGAATCATTCGTCCATGAGTCCCATCGGATCGTCCGTGATATAGCTCGTCTCAGACGCCTGGATTCAAAGCCTGGGTGCTATGTGCTGAAGGATTCGCATCGTCTGGCCTTTGTGGTCCGTATGGAGAGGTGAGCCTCCATATGGGTGGGGTTACCCTAGTGAAGGTTCTGAGACACCCCCTGCCAGGATCTGTAAGAGTTCAGAGAGATAGTTTAGAGAAGGCTTAGGGCCTTGAAGCATTGTTGGGAGGTATTCTGAACAGGTTGGGTGGCATGGGTCAAAACACTAGTGGCATCCCGAGTGTGGTCGGGAAGACAGAGTAATCCTTTGTGACTTGTGACTCTGAGGCTGGAAAGTAGGGTGATAAAGAGTTGAGCTTTAACCATGTTGCATTTGAGGTGACATCAGGACATCCAGGTAGAACTGTCCAGCAGATTCAGGGGATACGTCTGTACTAGAGATTGGGATCACTTACCCATTTACAACTGATTGTTCAGCTTGAACCACCTTATTCAAACAAGGTTACTTGCACATACAGAGAGAATACCAGACCTCAGAACTCCTTATAATTAATGATAGCGAAGCTTTTTAATGTCTCTTGCCACAAAGAATCCTATTGATCGCAGAATCACAAAACTGGGAGTTGGAAGGGGCCTTTCACCTAGATCAGTCTATATCTATAAACCCCAGTATAATACACTCCACAAGGAGTCACTTGTGTTTCTTAAATAAGCTGTAGAATCCACTCCTTATTACTATAAAAGTCCTTGGAAAATTTAATCAACTCTAATGATAACACCTTTAAAATTGAAAGACGTTAAAGCTTCTCACCTTTCTCTGCTCCTTTCCCCTCCCACATCAGCTAGGACTGTTTTCAGATACTTCAAGGAATCCCAAGAAAAGAAAAATTCACAAGCTTTGAGGTCCTTTGAGGTAGAAACAGTATTAAGCCTGTCTACACACCACTGTCACATCTTTCTGAAATACTGATTTGATTCATGTAATTCCTCTGTTCAGAAACCTCAAGGGGCTATAACATTAAAGACCCAAATTCCCCAGGATGACATTCATAGTGTTCTACAAATCAGGTAAAACCTACTTTTCTAGGCCATATTCCATATGTAATCTGAAATCAGGATGCCTTCCCATGTTATCTTTTTCAAGCAGTTTAACTCTTGGAAGGCCACTGTTCACAGAGATGAACAATTCATTGTCTGAATTTGACAACAATCTTCATGTTGCAGATCAGATGAAACGACTTGTCCAAAGGCTCACAACTAATAATAAATGGCAGAACTGAGACTAGAAGAACCTAGGAACTTGAAGCTCACTGCAGAACTGAGCATAGTCTTGGGCTGTAAAGCACTTAACAAGTTAAATTAATGCTAGCTTTTACTTTTTTTTCACTGCTTTCCTCTGTCTACTCTTCTTTGCTGGGTTTCTGAGAACGGTTTGGAGAGTAGAGTCTCAACTTCTGAGGAAAACATCTTACAGCTCAGAGGAAAGGGCTGATTTTTCTAAAGAGCCTTTCCAAGGCTTAGTATTGTCTGTACACAAGAGACTAATTTCTGTGCTGTCTTTTATCAGGATTAATGGAGTGAGTAACCAGGTGACAAAGACTATAGAGGAACTTCGTCTGAAGAAAATTTATAGCGGCGTGTTTGTTAAAATGACCCCTGATTCCTTAAAGAAACTGCGAATTATAGAGCCTTATGTAGCTTGGGGGTGAGTGATGAGTTCCTGGTAACCTTGTCCAGATGGAGGGGAGGGAGTGGGGAACCAAGACGGGGACAGGGGTTGTGAATTAGATAGAAGGGAGAGGGCATTTAAACTGAGTGGAAGAAAATAGTTGAGGAAAAACATGGTGGTCTTGTTCTTTAGTGCCCATTTTTACTATGTTGGAGGAAGAGATATTACTGACTCTCTTCTAAGTGTGTGATCTGGGGAGGGGAGAAGAGCATGAAATTAGCTGGAGGCTGTGCAGGAAATAATATATATGGGGATTTTTTGGTTTTTGTGAACTTCAGGTAAGAGGACTGGCTTACATTCCATATCCCCCACTCTGTACCACTGAGTGTTTGGCTGGTGTGTTTCAGGAGATAGTTAATGATATATGCTGAAAGGTTCCAAGATTGAAGGTAGCAATAATATTCAGATATGACAGAATTACACTCTTTATGAGAATTGGGTAGGAGGAGTTTTGCTCAGTGTTGGGGTCCTAGGAAGCAGAACTTTCCTGGTAGAGGTGGATGAGTATTTTCCCCAAAAGAAAAGCAGAAACTCAGATAGTCTGAGGCAGCAGGATTCATCCTGTGAAGCAACTACTAGTGAAAAGTGCGATGGAAAAATTAAAAACCTCTTTTTAAAAGCATAAGAAGGAAGAAGCCCTGTCCTATTTACCTAAAGGATAATGTGCGGGGCAGGGAAACCCCAGCTTGGATTAAGGTGTTTAAGAGGCCTGTACTGGGGCAGCTAGGTGGCGCAGTGGATAGAGCACCGGCCCTGAAGTCAGGAGGACCTGAATTCAAAGCCAGCCTCAGACTAAACACTGGACTCTCAATAGCTGTGTGACCCTAGGCAAGTCACTTAACCCTAATTGCCCCCCCAAAAAAGGCCTGTACTATGAGTAACCTAAGTTCCTTTTTTCCCCCTAGAGCAAAAATTCTGTCTTTATTAGGGATTGGTGATCATAGTGTGTTCAAGAGTAAAAATATTTGTAATAGATTTGATACTAAAACTCATAACTTAAAAATTAGGTCAAGTATACACTTCTGTAATAAAATTTTCCCCTGGCCTCTATGAGGTTCCAGAAGACACTGCTTTCCTGTTTAGCTCCCAGGTTTTTTGTTGTTGTTGTTGTTGTTGTTGTTGCTTTAATTAAGTAATTTATTTTTCATTTTCAGCATTCAGTTCCATAAGATTTTGAGTTTTAAATTTTCTCCCTCTCCCCAAGGTGGCATGCATTCTGATATAGGCTCTATACATTCCTATTAAACATTTTCACATTAGTCATTCTGTGAAGAAGAATTAGAATGGGAGGAGCCATGAGAAAGAAGAAACAAAACAACAAAAGAAAAGGAGAGTGAATTGAATATAGTATGCTTCCATCTGCATTCAGACTCCTAAATTCTTTCTTTGGATGAGGATTAGCACCCAGTTTTGTGCCTTCCAAGCTCATGGCGTGGAATGGGGATAGGATTGCTAGGGCATCATCTTTGCATTTATTATATTCTGGTTACTCTGCCTCTATAATTAACAGCTTGCTCTTTTTTCCTTCTTTTCACAGATATCCTAACCTAAAATCTGTCCGTGAGCTCATTCTGAAACGAGGACAAGCCAGGATAAATAATAAGAAAGTCTCTCTAACAGATAATACTCTGATTGAGGAGCGTCTAGGTGAGAATTGAATTATAGGTATCTGTTTCTTGTGATAGTGGAGGTGGGAGAGAACAGCTGTATAAAAATTGAAGGTAGAAGGAATGAGACAAAGCTTTAACAAAGCAGGGGTTCAGTGGAGCTTGGTGCTAATTGAAGCTGGTGTGTTTTTTCAGGGAAGTTCGGTATCATTTGCCTGGAAGATGTCATCCATGAAATCTGCTCAGTGGGGGAACATTTTTCTCAGGTCTCGAGGTTCCTGTGTCCTTTCCCCCTGTCTGTGGCCCGCCATGCTGCCAAGAATAGAGTGGGCTTTCTTAAGGAAATGGGCAAACCTGGCTACCGAGGTGAAAGCATTAATCAGATCATTCGGCAGCTGAACTAGGCCCAGGTAAGAACGGACTTGTTTCTGAAGGGCTTTAGGACCCTATTGTGGCATCTACCAGAAGAGAGAAAATGTTATTAAACATTTAGCTACTGGAGTACTAGAAAGAACCCAAACTTTGTAGTTAGTATACATGGGATTAAAAGTGTTGGCTCCACTGTAATACAGTGATGTTAAATTGACCTGTGACTATTTGCGTTCAAAGTGTGTTGCTTTCTTGAAATCTTTAAAACCAGAATAGGAAATCTTGTTTCTGTTCTCAGTTATGTCTCTGTACTGATTTAGGGTAAGTCTGTGTGGAGGAAATGGGTTAAACTCACATGATTTTTGGTGTGGTTTGAGGGGTCTCAGAGAGGCTATGAAGATCCAAGGAATAGGATAAAGTGCCACGAGGGGCTTAGATATCATCTAATTTATTTTTTTCCTTCTCACCCCCCCCCAACTCCTGCCACTTTCATTTTGCAGCTGAAGAAACTGAGGTAGCCAGAGAAGTCTCACAAATCAGAATTTGAAGTTGGGGATCCCAGCTCCAAAGCTAATGCTTCTCCCATTACTGTTCACTATAAGGTTTTTGAAGAGGCAATCCTTCCTCTTTCAACTCTTGAGACTCACCTGATAATTTGAGTTAGTTGCTGTAAGCTCCTATTAATTCAATTTTTTTTTCTCTAGGATCTCAGAAGATTTACATCTTTTCTGAGTTGGTACCCAGTATCTTCAAAGAAGATTTCTTTTCTGCTGGAACTTTCTCTGGAAACTAATGAGATAGGAAGAAAAGAGGATCACCTATGTAGAAGGAACTTTTCTTCCTTACTTTTCTTCAAGGAAGAAACCATATTGGTTTATCCAGCCAGCTTCATCTTGGATTAAAGTCTCATGTCCATCGAAGAGGAGTGGCTATACTTCCTATTTCGGGATTGGAAGCTAGATTCAACCCATTCCAGTTTTTTCGTGGTGGCCTCCCATCCAGAGAGCAATCAGTTGTTAGCCATATGTGGTTCTCTACTCCGAGAGTTGAATGTTGTAAAATATACTTTGTCACTCTGCTCTTCACTTGGAACAAGACAGTGGGACCTGATCTGGGTTTTGAAGTGACATTCAAATATGATGGGCCATCATCTCTGGGACTGTGTTTTTAATGATACTTATATGACTCAGCCTAGCAACTATGTTAGTGGGCTTCCCATGCTTCGGCACCACTCTCATGCCACCACTGTACACCAGGTCCCATTCTTTCTTGCCATTAAAGTAGAGATATTGACTGTAACCTGCCACTCACTTAGCCCTATCTGTGTCAGTATGAATCAGATTTTGCATTTCATTACCCTTATTTTGTGGTCTTCCCTTGCCCCTTATCTTTTCCCCACAATCTAAGGTAATAAGTAACTAATTATCAAAGTGTCCATAAGGGGTAATAATAATAATAGCCAACATATTTGAAGTTTGCAAAATGCTGTACCTATGTTCTGTCATTTAATCCTCACAACAGCCCTCTGGAGTAAATGCACCTTAAGCCCTATTATACAAAGAGAAATATGTCTCAGAGAACTTGCCCAGGGTCACGTGGCTAGGAAATGTCTAAGGTGGGATTCAAATCCAGGTCTTCCTGATCCCAAGTTCAGCACTGTCTACAACCACCACACAATGGGAAGATGTTTTAGCCAAGATTTCACATGTAGTCTAAGAGTCACTAAGATGCCCACTTTTATGTGGCCGTGGAAGAGAAAACAAAACATAGGTTTATTAATCACTTATGTGCTCAGCACTTTATAACTGTTCTCTCATTGAGCTTTGTCTTGGGAACATGACAGGAGCTTCGCCCCTTTCTTTCTAGGCAGCTCCTTGAATCCATCTCACTTTTTCTGACACACTATTTAACATGCAGAGCAGACATCTGGCACTTGAGAAATACAAAGCAGCAAGATCCTTACCTACGCTGACATTTAGTGAAGTGTGGTGATGAATGCATTGTGTTTCTCTACAAGAGTACCACCACTTGCTTCTTTCCAATGAAAAAGAATAAGCAATCTTGAAATTTTTGAGACTGTTTAAAATTGAGCAGGTCTGTGCTAATGGTTTAAGTGGGGAATAAGCCAAGGACTCCCTTTTCCCTTTTACACTAGCTGGAAGCTCTTAACTGGCATACTTTTGTTAGGGTCCTGGTCTTGTCAACGTAAAAGACCACATTAAAGCTATTTAACTAGAAAAGGTAAAAGGATGTCATTTGTACCACCAGTTCCCAAAGTGCAGATTAAAAACTTCCCACACTACTGAAGTATTTCCGTTTATCCTATTCATATGCCACTATTTTACAGGTGAGGAAAATGGAGCATTTGGAGGTTCTGACTTGCCCAGGGTCACATAGCTAAGAAGAGTCAGAGGCTGGTTTTGAAAGACCTTTGACAATTGTTCCTGTTTCTGTATGGCTGTTGTAATCCCGGGCACGTGACAAGTCTAGCACCTTGAGAATTTCCTGGTTGAGTTGAAATTGGAAGGCTTTTAGAGAATATGCTTCACAACTCTTGTCATTTTACAAATAAGCCAAGTTGGTGGAAATTTTGATTTCACTGTTACAAGGGATTTTGTGGCAAAGCTAAAGTTTGAATGCAGGTCTTCTGGCCCCATTCCTTTTTGCTAAAAATCATAAGCAAATCTGAAGCAATATAAAAAAAGTTTCTTGCCATAAAGGGTTTATAAAGTCTAGCTGAGGAATGGGTAACAGTACTAGATGGTAGGGGCAGCTAGTTCAGGTCTAAAGTCAGGAAGACTCATCTTCCTGAGTTCAAATCTGCCCAGACAACTAGCTGTTACTCAGGGTAAGTCGCTTAACCCTGTTAAAACCTGAGTTTCCTCACCTGTAAAATGAACTGGAGAAGAAAATGGCAAACCACTCCAGTCTCTTTGCCAAGAAAACCCCAAGTGGGATCATTGCAACGAGTGAAAAACAGGTTAAGTATACCATATTTATTTACAATCTCATAACCACACTGTAAACTCCATTTGGAAACAAGCAAGACTGCTGGTTAGCAAGCTCATGAAAGTCAAATCGTGGATTTTCAGATCGTCAACGCTGGTGTAATAACATGCAGAGCACGTGTTTTTATTTTGTACTATGGATGGTTTGTACTTTTAATGGTTTGGGAGAGTTACAGAATCTTCATTTCATAGTGTCAAAAGTTGTCAAGTCTGTAGCTTCGTAAGCACTTTTTTCCCCCATAAAGTATTTTTAAATTCGTTGCCTTCAATATCTGTCCTCCAGCTTGTCTTCGAAGCAACAGTTCCGTTCAGGTAGCCATGGCTCATATTGGTACAGTCCTTTAAAGTTTGCAAAGCATTTTCCTCACCACAGCCCTTTGAGGTAGGTAAGTGCAAGCACATCCCAACTGTATGGAGAAAACTGGCTCAGCAGTGAACTGATCTGTCCAGCAGAGGTGGCTCGAATCCACGTCTCTTGGCCAAGTCCAGCGCCCTTTCCTTTCATGAATGCTCCTCCAAGGGAGGGTACTCTTTTCCCCCAACTACCCCCACTCCCACCTCACCCCACTAAGCTGCGAGGCACAGGGTAAGTGTTTAACGTTTGCTGAATGAATACGTGACTGCCGGCGGCCGGATTCACCAGGTGGCTGGGGGGCTCAGCTGCGGCCTCGTCCCGGGCGGGGGGAGGGGGGGTCCAGTCTTGCCAGCGGGTCTAGGGCGAGGGCACCGCGGGGCTGGCCAGGAGCCGGGTTTCCCAAGGCTTGGGTCTCCGGGGGATTTGCGATGCGGTGGGCTCCCTGCAGGTGGCCGTGATGTGCAGCTTCTCCAGCCCGGGAATGTCCTGGCCTTGCTGAACCATCCGCAGAATCTCCGAGAGAGACACGGCGCGAGACGGCTCCGGGGCCTCCCCCTCCTCCGGCAGCGCCGGGGCCCCGGGGGCGGCCAGGCTCTGCTCCGGGTCGCGGGGCCGGGCTGGCCTCGCCTGCTCAGCCTCGGCGCAGCGCGGCTCTCGTGCCCGGGCTGCTCCTCCGAGGGGGCTCGGGCCACCCTCCTCCTCTTCCTCCTCCCGCGCCGGCGGCCCGGGGACGCGGGGCCTCACTGCATGCACGGCGGCGGGGCTTGGGGCCGGGTCCTCCCCTCCCGCCGGGCCAGACCCCGGGTCCTTTCCTCCCGCGGGGCCGGGCTCCGGGTCCTCCCCTCCCGCCGGGCCGGGCCCCGGGTCCTCCTTTCCCATCCGGCCGGGCTGCATTTGCAGCTGGCCAGCTCCCGGGCCCGGTCTGCTGCCAAGAGCGGAGAACACGGCCTGGCTAGACACACCCCAACTCCGTCCCGTGCGCACTGACCTCTGCAGGAGGGCACGGCTACACCTGGCACAAAGACAACTCCAAAGGAGGCAAAGCAGAACCGGGGAAGGCGTGAGAGCTCCCGCTTCCGATTTGGGAGGCCGGAAAAGAACTGGGGACGGGCAGGAGAAACGGGCTGGACCCTACCAAGCCAGCCCGGAGGGGGGAGCACAATCCCAGAATCAGAATGTCAAGGGAAGAATGATCATAGAATACCAGGCCAGCCCGGAATGGGAAGCACAATCACAGAATCGGAATGTCAAGCATAGAAATGACATAGGATAGCTCAATGGGCCCTACCAAGTCATCCCGGAAAGGGGGAGCACAATCACAGAATCAGAATATCAGAGAGAGAAATGATCAGGAGACCTTAGATTTACATAACCTCAGAGGTCATCTTTAGTCCAACACACTCCCTCACATTTTACCCATGAGGAAACTGAGGTCACTTGCCCAAGGTCACACAGGTAGAAAGAGGTGTCAGGAATCTCAGCTTAGGTCTTCTGACTCCAAAAGCAGTACTCTTTCCGCTGCACCAAGACAATAACTATTCCTATTTGTGCAGCACTTTAAGGAGTTTTGTTCAGTCATGTCCAACTCTTTGTGACCCCATTTGGGGTTTTCTTGGCAAAGATACTGGAGTGGTTTACCATTTCCTCCTCTAATGTGTCCCTCTATTGTTTGGATGAAGAACTGAGCGCAGAGTTAAGCGACTTGCCCAGGGTCACATAGCTAGTAAGTGCCTGAGGCCAGATTTGAACTCAAGTCTTCCTGACTCCAGGCCCAGCACTCTACCTACTGCACCACCTAGCTGCCCCTGTTTAAAGAGTTTAGCAATCATCTATTCCAACCCCCTTGTTTTGCAGATGAGGACACTGCAGCCCAGAGAGGGGACTTTACAGAATCACAGTTGGAGGGGAATTTAGCCACAATCTAGTTCGGCCTATATCCGAAAGGAATCTCCACCTTTACATTTCTGACAAGTGGTCATTCAGTCTCTTAACCTCCAAGGAGAGGGAATCTATCACCTCCATTCCTCTTTTGGCCAGCTCTAATCGTTAAGAAGTTTTTCCTGACATCAAGCCTCTTGGGAATATGCACCCATGCCCCTGGTTCTACGCTCTGGGGCCAAATAAAACCATCCTGATCCCTCCTCCCCATGACAACTCTTCAGATTTTGGAACACAGCTATCAAATACCTCCACAGGGTCTTCCTTCTCCTTGAGTACCCCTAGTTTCTTCCATCAACGTGTTGAAGACAATATAAGAGCTGGGATTCAAACCCAAACTGACTCTAAATTCATCACCTCCTCCAATATACCACAATGATTCACAAAATGGATCTCAATGCTTTCTTTCTTTTTTTTTTTTTGGCTAGGCAAGGGGGTTAAGTGACTTGCCCAGGGTCACAAAGCTAGTAAGTGTCATGTGTCTGAGGACAGATTTGAACTCAGGTCCTCCTAAATCCAGGGCCAGTGCTCTATCCACTGCACCACCTACTTGCCCCCTTCAATGATTTCTATTTTCTCATTACATACAACAACCTTAATTCATCACATGGCTAAAAAAAAACATCATATGTGCATACCCTTTGACCCAGCAATAGCACTTCTAGGGCTACATTCCAAAGAGATCATAAAAATGGAAAAAAGATCCACATGTATAAAAATATTCATAGCAGCTCTTTTTGTGGTGGCAAAGAATTGCAAATTGAGAGGATGCCCATCAATTGGGGAATGGCTGAGCAAGTTGTGGTATATGAATGTAATGGAATATTATTGTGCTATAAGAAATGATGAACAGGCTGACTTCAGAAAAACCTGGAAAGACTTGTATGGTCTGATGCTGAATGAAGCGAGCAGAACCAAGAGAATGTTGTACATGATAACAGCCATGTTGTGCGGTGACTAATATTCATAAACTTAATCCTTCCCAGCAATACAAGGATCTAAGACATCTCCAAAGGCCTTGTGATGGAAAATGCTATCCACATCCAAAGAGAGAACTATGGAAGTTGAATTGCTTTTTTTTTCCTCTTCTGTTGAGTTTTGTTTTCTCTTTCTGATGGTTCCTCCTACTGGTTTTAATTTTTACTTACAACTTCACTAATGTGAAAATATGTTTAATAAGAATGTAAATGTATAGCCTATATCAGATTGTGCACTGTCTTGGGGAGGGTGATGGGGAGGAAGGGGGAGAAAAATTTTAAACTCAAAAGCATATGGAAGTGATTATTGATAAATAAAAATAAATTAATAAATAAAAAATTTAAAAACATCATAACTGTGGGAGTTTTTTGTTTTGTGATACTTTTGCTTGTTTTTTTTGGCTGGCAAAACTCACATGGTATATCAGGATCACCAGAAATAGGTTCAAGACTGAGTCCCTATTCTTGTCTCTGCAGACTTCCTAATCCAGTGGCTGGATATCATCATCATGGTTGTTTATATTTGCGTAGTGAGTCCCAAACATCCTATGAGTTAGGTTAGCATAGGTGGTAGGATACCCCCATTTTACAGATAAAAAGGCGAGGCTCAGAAGGGGCCTTGTCCAAGTTTGTACAACTAATAAACATCTGAACCAAGATTTAAATCCAGGTCTCTCCTATTTAGAGGCAGCTAGGTAGCACAGTGGATGGAGTGCCAGGCCTAGAGTCAAGAAGATCTGAGTTCAAATGCAGCCTTAGATACTTGTGAGCTATGTGACCTTGGGCAAGTCACTTAACCCCTGTTTGCCTCAGTTTCCTCTTGTAAGATGGGGATAATGATGCCACCTAACTCTCAGGGTTATTGTGTGTTGCCCACAACCAGATCGTACACCGAACGGAGAGGCGTGAAATAACTTATGACATGGGCCAGGCGGAGTAGAATTACTGACTCAGTTTATTCATCTGAGGGCACAGAATATCTAGCCTAACTTCAAAGAGTCCTCCCCGTGAGATACTCCCCAGAACATCTGCTGAGGATGTAACAATCATGAATTTCCTCCTTATCAGGGTTCCTAGATTGGGCTGTAGATTCCAAGGTTTTCCCAGGTGCCTTGGTGCCACCTGCATAGAGGAGTAAATATGTAAATCTAAGGTTCAAAGAGAGAGAAGGGATGTCTCAGAGATCTCATTATCAGGAAGGAATTGGGGAGCCGTACCACTTAATCCATGAGCCCTTTTGGGTAAAAGCCTGAGCAGAGGTCAAACTCTGCCTTGGATCTTAAACCCTTATCAGACTCTTAAGATAGGCCCTCAACAATTGTGAGAATCAAATGATATAATAATTGTAAAGTGCTTAGCACAGTACCTGGAACATAGTAGGTACCATGTTAGCTATTATACATATATGTGCATATGTCTCAAGTAAATGTTAGCTATTATTATTGTTGTTGTTATATCTCCCTACCCTGATTGACAGGGCTATTCTTAAGAGGACTACACCTACCTGAAGGTGGGGCTATAGTCACATTAAGTGTAACAAGGGTCATGGAGCATTCACATAGGTACACTACATGCTTCTGATCAGCATTGAAGAACACAAGCATTTAGGGGATGGATGACGGGAAAACATAACAAAACAAACGTATTGGCTATTGAGCAGGAAGAGCCATTGATTCAGTAGCTATTTAGAAGGGAGTGAGATGCCCTCAGTGTTCTATTCACTTCCTGGTTACAGATTATGTCAGGACTATTCCAGCAAGACCTCCCACCTCACCCCCTAGCCAGATGCTGACTAAAAACTGGCAACCTAAGTGAAAGTCCTGCCTGGATGAACCTGAGAGTAGATCTCACAGCCCTGATTTTTGGTGACTAAATAGCAATCCTGTAATGGACATTTCCAGTCTTAGAGGCTACCTTGTGAGTGAAGGAGGTTCGGAGATCCTGAGTGTTGTAGAAACATCCACTGCTTCCACCAGTCTCTTCTTGGAGGGAAATGAGATTAATTCCTGACTTGGCTTGCCAAAAAAAAAAACGTGGTTCTGGAGGGAGTTATTTGGACAGTTTGGAGCCCAAGTGAAATATGAAATGACGATTTAGCAGTCACACACACACACAAAATTCTGATGTTTGGCTGTGGTCTCTACTGTCTCCAGCTTTGGCCTCAGTTGAAATCCTGACCTAGGGTAGTCTTCTGCTCTTTCAGAAAGAACCACAACCCATACCCCAGAACCAGTAGAAGTCTCAGCTCTGGGGCCTGCCACCTCCTAAGCAGTATCCCAGTTCCAGTCAACAAACTCACGATTCCTCTCACTGACTTGACTGGACTCCACAGCTGGACTCCCAGCTCCACTGGAAGATGCCAAGTTCTTCTGCAGCAAGACACGCTGCCCATAGGAGGGGGGGTGGAGAGGAGAGTAAAATTCCCTTCCTTCCTCACCCCACTCTCGAAGAGAAAAAAAATGAAAAGCCAACTCTTTTCTCAGAGCTGACTCATCTTTTAAAATTTTTCTTTTTTTAATTAACAAGCATTTGTTTTCCCTCCCTCAACCTTCCCCAATTTAAATAAGAAAAGAAAAACAAAACCTTTGCAACAGATAGATATAGTCAAGCAAAACAAATTCCCACATCCTCCATATCCAAAAATGTATGTCTCATTCTGCTACTTAAATCCATCACCTCTTTGGCAGAAGGTGAAGTGGTGCATAGTTCACCAGTCCTCTGGAATCATGTTGGTTATGGCATTTGTTGCCCAGCAGAGGTCACTGTCGGTGCCTCAAGGCAAGACCTTCTCTTGGGGGTCTCCATTCCTCTACCACCCTCTCTCTCTAGTGAGTGGACAGGGTGGGAAAAAAGCTCTTGGCTCAAACAGACCAGTCTCATTAGAGATAATGAGATTAGCTCCTGAAAGTTTTAGTCCAGGACAAAGATGCCAGTTCCACGTGGCTTCCTTTCTCTGCAAAGCTAAAAAGCAAACAAAACTTTAAAATACAAATTGTAAATAGAATGCATAAGATCCTTTGAGCCCCCAGACAATCTGTTAATCGACTAGTCAGGATGATAATCTTTTCTCCCTCTATTTAATCTAATACTTTTTTCCCCAATTACATGTAAAAAACAATTTTAACATTCTTTTTTCAAAATTTGAGTCCCAAATTCTCTCCACCCATCCCCTATCCCTATCATTGAGAAGGCAAGCAATTTCACATAGGTTATACATGTGTAGCCATGCAAAACATTTTCATGTAAGTCATGCTGTGAAAGAAAACAGACAGGAAAAAAAGAAAGTAAAGAAAAAGTATCTTTGATCTGCATTCAGGCTCCACCAGTTCTTTCTCTGGAGATGGGCAGTACCCAGGATGATGATATTCCAGCCAGCTGAATTTAGTACTATCAAATATCCATAGTTTTTCCTTACCTCATTTCACATTTTTTATAGCAAAACATCAAACTTATTATGCCAGTGAAAGTATCTTTATCAAACTATAGTTAAAAAACAAAAACTTACTAGGCAAAAGGTTTAAAGATCCAAACAATCCTTAGTAATTAGCTTTCTCACCTACTGTTCCAGGCAAGAAAACAAAAGCGAGGGAGAATGGAATATATTTGCCTTAGTTCCAGCAATTTCTCAAGGAAGCAAGAATTCAGTCATTGTCTGCCGGATTGTCTTAAAAAGCCAAACTACGAGTAAAAGGCTTCCAGCTGTTAAGAAATGTCTCTATCTCCTGGGAAGAGTTGTCCATCTGTGACTGCCACTTCCACCACAAGTGCACTCTCTCAAAACTCTCTTTTGGACCCTCTTCACAGAGATTTCTCCAACTCCCTCTATACCAGAAATTCCAGTCTATCTCAGGGTAAGAGCCCTCTTTTCTCTTACGTGGAAGAAACACAACTTCCAGGCTGTTTAGTCTTTCTTTGGAATCAGTGAGTCCAGCCTAGCCAGAAGGTCTATGAAACATTGATCAGAATTCTTGATTTTTCAGAGTTGTTGCTTTTACATTGTTGGTGTTACGGTATAAATTGTTCTCCTGGTTCTGCTCAGTTTATTCTGCATCCATTCCTACATGTCTCTTGCCCTGTCAAGGCCACTGAGGGCATGGCTGGTTCTTCAGTCAGCCAGTTGTTAGATATCCCTAAATTCCCATCAATTGCCTTTATCTAATAACCAATACCTAAAATCCGGGAGCCTAACTGAAGAACTGTGACAATTTGCTCAGGGACTAACATTGGCCCATGCTTTATTGTGTTATTGGATTATTTAGAAAATTCCTTTCTATGTTGTCACATGCTTGCTAGGATTAGAGGAGTGATGACGGTGATGATTCAGAAAAAGGACTGGGAAGCAGGATAATTTTCCAAAGGACCAAGAGCTGCACAAGAAAGGGGACAGGGAAGTGACAAAGAAATGCAAATTCTCTCAGACATAAAAATGCATTTCTCTTTTCCTTCCCTTCCCTTTAAGACAGAGACTTCCTGGTTGCCAAGCTAAAAACTGGGAGCAGAAAGCTACTGAGGTTAAACTGAGGCTTTGTATTCATCATATAAGTGAATGGCAGCTGATTTTTCCTTTTATTTGATTTATTAATTTTATTAATGGGGTAGACTTTCCTCTTATTTTAATGACGTTCAATAACTATGTGGCCACAGTATGTTGAATTTTTATGTTCTGTGAATGTGAAGGGGTGAGGAGAAAGAAGGGAAGAGCTTGAACTAAAAGAAGAGGTTCCAGATGTGAGGTGGTGGGGTGTAGAATCAGAGATTCCCTGTTTTTGATGTTTTGAGCCACAGTCTATAATTTCCCTAACTAATTTCCAAATCTGGCCACTACTACAGCGCCCCAGTTGTCTTATGGTGTTATGTACAAAGTGTTACACAAGTGACTCCATCCCAGTAGAATTCTCCCTTGCAACAAAGTACAGCCGAGCAAAACAAACACACAGACTGTTTATTTGTGAACGATCATGCATTTACCCTCCCAGCTGCTAGGGCCTCATCCCTAAAGTTATCTTGTATTCATTTCATATGCAGTTACACACAAACATGCACATATGTTGTTTCCCCCGACAATATTTGCTCCTTGAGAGCTGGTACTATTTAACTTTTGTCTATGTAAGGGGTGATTATGTCGTCCATTCAGGTTATTTGTATTTCCATGAGTCTGTCTAAAGGAGACAACAACAACACGAACAGAGATCTCTAGAGACTCCTCCATTCACCTTTCTGCAAGGAACACTTTGATTCCTGCCAGGAGAGGAAGCAGGAGGTTGGAACCAGAGGACACCTGCTCTGCTCTCCTTAGAAAAGACAGGGAACTGAGCTAGAATTATATCTATCCACCCTCTTTTATTGTTAGTCTAAGGGAAATAATTTTATAATATTATTAGTCTAGGGGAAATAGTTTTTAACTTAATGGGAAAGGAGTCCCCCAAGCTATATTTCCAAGGCTTGACTTTCTTTCCATCAGGTGCCAGTTCCACAAAGACCACACATAGTGAATAGAAAATAAACCCATTCATCCAAGCCAATAATAAATAGAAATCAGAGAAGGTATACAGAGATATCATCAGAGAATACACCATCAGAGTGAATAAGCTCTCCAGTTGGGAGAGATCTTAGCTCAGTCAAGAGCAAAAGACTTCCAGATCTTATCCAAAGAGAAAACTTTCCAAGATCTCCAGTAAAGCTAGCTGTACACGGGGATATGATCAAGGTGCTGGCTCCTCTATAGGTTGGCTCCTTCCAGAATCTTCCTTTTACTTCAAGGACCTCTCCCCAAAGGAAATTTAGAGTTGCATTTGTTCTCTCTCAAAGCGGGAAGGCAGAAAACCAAGATCTCTCTTCTTTCTCAAGCTCTTGCCAACATCATCCCTCACGCAGCATTGTAATCTGAGTATTGAGCAATCAATTTCCATCGATGAAGACAGTATTATACAAATGAGCTTTGAGCTACAGGTTACATTTGTCCCTAAAGCACCTAGAATAGTATCTGGTACACAGTGGGCACTTAATAAATACATGTTGATTGACTGAGGTATACTTCATTCCATACTTATAGTCTACTATCTCCCATATATGATCTCCCAAGCTTTCCTAAATTCTTCATATTCATTGTTTCTTACAACATAACAATATTACGTTACATTCATATACCACAATTTGTTCAGCCATTCCCCAATTGATGGGCACCCATTTTGTTTCTATAATGGGGGAGGGGTTGATGTGTGCACCTAGTATGTACTTAGAGTACCTAGTATGGCATCTCTCCACATAGAGAAGATAAGGAGCTTACTTCCAGGAGAAACGGGATGAGGAATAAGGGAAGTGCCTTGGAGAAACTGGGGAGCACGTGTAGACATTCCACAATTGGTTCCAGTTGGCTAACCACGTGGAGAGGGGGAGGCTTTGATTGGTTTCAGGGGCATTCAAAAAGGCCTTGTCAGCATCAGCACTACTACCACTTTTGTTACAGTCACCCTTGGAGGATCTTGGTGACTGTTGATGGTGTCTGCTCAGAGACCACGCAGTAACCTCTGAGGCCATTTAGCCCAGAGAATGGAGCTCAGTACTTAGCCTCTGTGTTTGCTCTGTTCTGTTCTAGGTAGAGGGAATGAAGCATCATGGGATATGGAGGGTGCCTCAGTCTGTAAGTTTATTGGCCAGGTTTTGTAGGCACCAGAATCAATGCCCTTAGGAGCAAAAATAGATTGTCTGTACTCATACTAGTAGAGGTTAAGATGAAGACTCATCCTCACATACAAATGTGGACTTGATAGAGCCAATTCTGTGTAGAAACTGAGCTAAGTTTTTAGCTTAGTCTCCACTGTGGGTGAGGTGATATAACGAAGATTATGGATTGAGAAAAATGTATGTTTACTTTTGCTATATCTTTGATGTCAATATTCCTAATCAATGTTAAGTGTTTAAATGGAGCTAGGTGTTGGTCACAGGCCCTAATAATATGAGGAACAGAGTCAATGGGAGCTCAAGCCAATGACAACAGAAAAAAAAAAACCATCCCAACCCCTCAGGGGCCACATGAAGCAACCTGGCTCTGGGAGAGGGATCTAGAGTGTACACGTTCTAATTCCAATTCTTTGCTAGGTTTTGCTTTTCACATGGTATTTTCCAATTCATGAAGCACTTCTCTAGATTATCCCTTCTTTGATTGTGTCCTTCCCTGCTCATATAATCTTCTTGAAGCAACATTATGAAAATATTACTTTTTTCCTCAGAAATCTTCAGTCGCTCACCATTGCCAACAGGATCAAGTCCAAATGCCTTCACCTGGCATTTAGCCCTCTATTTCAACCTATCTCATACTACTGTCCTTCATACATTCGATGTGCTTGTTAAACTAGATAACTTTCCATCCTTTATCCTCCTCTCATCTATTTCCCATCCCTTATATTTCCTCTGCTTTTATGCCTTTGTCATATTGAATGAACTCTACCTTCCCATTTCCATCTTTGGAAGTTCCTCTTTCCCAAGCCCAACTCAGATGAGAACTTTCCCCATTTCCTTTTCTACCATCTCCCTATTTGCAAGTGAAAGTTACATGTCATTCCTTAAATTTTTGTTTTGTTTTGTTTTGGTTTTTTCGGTTAGGCAACAGGGCTAAGTGACTTGCCGAGGGTCATACAGCTAGTGTCAAGTGTCTGATGCCAGTTTTGACCTCAGGTCCTTCTGAATCCAGGGCCAGTGCTCTATCCACTGCGCCACCTAGCTGCCCCTCTTCCTTAAATTTTTAAAAAACATTTTGTCTGAGCTTTGTCTCTGCACTTAATCTCACTCTCTCTTGTTACTTGTGGACTTGGTCTTCCTCCACTAGATTGTAAGCTTCTGAAAGGTAAGGTCTGTTTCCTAATTAGCAACATTAATAATGTTGTTGCCACAACATTATTAATGGGAGAACTTAACACTCTATTTTGAGTAAGAATGTAAGTAAAGTAGAAAGATAAATTAGAAAGAAAGAAGTTACAGAATTGAACAGACTGATGGAAAAATTAACTTCAATAGCTCTAGGGAAAGAACCGAATGGGTTTATTAGATGAATGAGTTCCTTCAAACTCAAATCTTCACAGACCATTAAGAATGGCTCATAAAGAATACTTTTTGAAAAGAATATTAAAAAATGTAAAAAAAGGAAAAATTTTAAACATTACTTTCATGGGTCATAGGACAATTATAATATAGATGACAAAGAATAATGTAATCAAAAGATGCAGGCTGAACTAAAAATTACTTGTTTACCAATGATTGGGTCAAGAGCAAATTACCAGGGGCAGAGCCAAGATGGCAGAGTGAAAGCCATGACTTGCTTGAGCTCTCCCCCAAACCCCTCCAAATACCCACCCAAAAAATGGCTCTAAACAAATTCTAAAGCAGCAGAACCCACAAGAAGACAGAGTAAAACAAATTTCCAGCCCAAGACAGCCTGGATGGTTGATCGGAAAGGCATATTGCGCGGGATGGGGAGAGGAATGCAGTTAGGCATGGGTGCGCAGGCCACAGCGAACCTAGAGCAGGCCTCAGAGGACTGAATCACAGGCAGCTGTGGTGGCTTCCAGACTCCTCAATCCACAAACACTAAAGACAATTTAGAAGGTCAGTGGGAAAAGTCTGGTTTTGCAGTGAGAGAAGAGCTAGGTCAGAGCCAGTTCCAGACCTCAGAGCATGGGTGCCAGGCGGTGGCTGTGTCCTGAGCTTCCGGCCACAGACTGAGGGGGAATTGTGGCTGATCAGAGGGGGACTGCAGGGATCTCTTTGCTGTGCTGAGGCAGGAATCTCTTGCTTTGCCCGTGCTTGGATCTGGGTCACAGTTCTGGTGGTGGTCCTGGGGTGAGGAGGAGTGATG